TATACCATTATTACTACATTTAAAATGTTCTTTTTTTTTTTAACTTCCCGCTAAGAAAATTGAAAATTTTTTTTTACAATGAAAATAGCAATTTTTTGTAAATATTTTATAAAAATTTCCATAAATAATTAGTAACATCTAACAATTAAAAATATATTGGAAATAAAATTAAAAGCAATAAAAAATATTTTTTTTAATGAGTCAATTAAAAATAACTTTTATCACTTCATTGTTAGTAGAAATGATCAATATAATATCTTTAAAAACAGTTAAAATCAATATTATTATTAATAGAATAAATTGAATTGTTTTTCAATGGAAAATTTTTTTATTAATAATAATCAGAAATTTTTAAGCTTAAAGTTTTTGAAAATTAAAAAAAAAACCGCAACAATATTTTTACAGAAGTTTTATAAAAATTGAATCTTCAAGTCGGATCACTGGGCGGTAGCTTATACCCTAAACTAACACCAACAATAAATCCGGGAATTTATTATGATTATTATTATTATTTAAATGAAGTAAAATATAAAATACATATATTAAATCACTTAAAATAACTGGTTGTAAGTTGTAAGTATCTCGGGTTAGGCACGTGCGTATTGAACGTGTGCGTGAGAATGATTCAAGTGGTTGAGGAAAAAAAGGTCAAAGACGAAAGCTACTCGAAGAAAGTGAAGTAAAACAAAAAAGAAAAGGAAGCAAAAAAGCTGGAAGAAAAGGAAGAGACGGAGAAGAAAGGGCGACTGAGCTGCTGGTGAATCTTGTACTTGGGGTCGTTGATATTTAGACGGAGGCAGCCTGCTTGTATGGACGCAAAAACGTCGTTAAATGCCCAACTCCATGGAGGTCCGGTCTCCGTCTCTGGTACAAGTTCTGTGTAGGTCATTGGACCCTCCCGAGATATTAAATCTTTCTGGAATACATCATCTAAATATAATGGACATATATAATAAGGGCTCGTTTGCTATTAATCAACAAAACATTTACTTTTTCTTACTAAGTCAAATGATTAATTATCTAATCTATATTATTAAGAGAATAAGAAAAATTTTGTGTTCAGGAGAGTCATATGATAAAATTAGTTTTTTTAGTAAAATTTAGTGTCATTGTAGTGTCATTTGTCTTGATTTTAATTTGTGCCCTTTCAAGGTTTTATATCATTCTCAACGATAGTCAATTTATGATGATAAGTATTCAGGCTGCATTCGAAAATGCTTTATCTTTAGATACATAATGAAGAAATAACCCTGTATCTCGTGAACTATTGACATTTTTTAAAATATAAGCTCATTCCGATGTTACACTCATCAAGACCTTTCATTTGAGTACCCACATCAATTTTTCATATATTTATATATATTTTATATATGTATATATGAAAAATGTATCGAAATGGATGTGGGTACTCAAATGAAAGCTCTTGATGAGTGTAACATCGGGATGAGCTTATATTTTAAAAACAGTGCAATTTAACATAATTAAGAAACGACTTTGTATCTTGTAAACTATTGATATTTTTAAAGATATAAGCTCACTTCGATGTTACACTCATCAAGACCTTTCATTTGAGTACCCACATCAATTTTTCATATATTTATATATATTATATATATATGAGATATATCAAAATACATGTGGGTACTCCAATGACAGCTCTTGATGAGTGTAACATCGGGATGAGCTAATATATTTAAAAACGCCAATATTTAAACAAGTACAGTGCAATTTAACAATAGTTTTTTCATTCTTGAATAAACCGATAGCTTCTCGTCGAAAAGCCATTATTTAATAAAGCAAAATTTTATTTCTTTATACTGCACAAATCACGGCAGTCACATAGTGACTGCAAGGTTGTTAGTTGTACATATTAATTAATTGTAAATATTTACCGTAATAAAATCTATGTGAGATGGGACTGAGTAGCATTTTATATAGCTCTAATTTCTATGCATTACAGTAATATTTACTCTTTACCTATACTACTACTGGCTTTACTTCAAGTTGTCATCATCAAAACATTTTTTTATTGTATTTTCTATTTCTGATAGTAATTTAGTTTATTAATGTCGATTTTATCGCCTCTGCTTTAAAATTTTTTTCCGTAGATATAAAGTCCGCGGTTGACTAAAAAAAATTACTCAAATAAAAACTTCTTTACGTCTGATTGGAAATGTTTTTAAAATTAGTGATCGTAATCGCGATTCTGCATGTAACAATCGTGATAGGATGGGAAGATTGCGACGTCAACTCGGCGATTATGAAGAAACTAACTCAAAAAAATTTGGAAGAATACTCTAAAAACTATTACGAAGGCACCCAAGTGCTAAAAATTTCGAATATCGACAGTGCAGAATTTCAATTCATCGGAGTGATTATGTACAGAATTCACGCAGAAATTGGAGAAACTGATTGTCCAAAAGGACATGACTCTAATAAGTGCAAGCTGATGAAATCTGCGAGGATAATTCACTGCAATTTCGAACTTCTCGAAGTACCTTGGCGCAATTTCAAAAGCCACACTATCAATTGTCACTAGCTCAAATTTTGATTGTAGTTTTGTGAAACATTTATTTAATTTCAAAAAAAATTTTTTTCCCCAGGTTATCCCAGAAATTATTTTTACAGATAATTTGTAATTGCTGACGTCACAATAACTTCGATATAAATTCCATTAGTAAATTATCGAATTAAAGTGATTACCAGATTAGTTTATTTCTTTTGTCTAAATGCTTGATGGAAAACTGTAATTGACGTCGTTGATACATTTTGACGCATTTCGACAAAATAAAGCCGTTTTGCATTTTTAATAATTTTGGGCTTTGTCATATAGACCTCTTCACGATTTATCGGTTCCAATCGTTACACCTCCCTACTTTATAACTAAAATTGGAGTTGAATTTTTTTTAAACAATGGAAAAAGCTTGAATCATTCTAAAATTGTGCTAGAATATTCCAGAATTCTGGAAATTTCTACATTTAAACATTTAAATGTTTTTACAACCCAATTATTTATAATTACTTTAAAGGTAGATAAATTGTTAACGGCTTTGTTTATAAGATTGGGTTACAAGCTTTACCAATGTTAAAAATAATAATTAATATTATTGTTACTATTATTACCACTACCACATCCGTTTCTTTTTTTACTTCTATCCCCGTTTTTCAAAATTTCCTAAGTATTTATAATCAGCGACATACGTGAAGATTGTCAAGTTACAAGTAATCTTTTAACTAAATTACAACAAATATTTCTGATAAGTGAAATAATGTTTTTAAAAAATTTGACGTCAAAGCTGGTTCTCCTAGTCACTATTCTCCAGATTAACAGCATTTTCGCTGGACCAACCACAAAATGGCAACGATTAGATACTGACTCTAAAGAAGCGAGAGGTTTCGCGCAGGAGGGACTGAAACAATACATTTCTCAGATGTACTACGGACCCCAGCAATTGATAATAACGAACATTTCTTCAGCAGAAATCAACTCTGAAACCAAGGAGTTCTCTGTTGATATGAAACTTGAAGAAAGTGATTGCTTTAAGGGAAGTTATTCTGCTACCTGCAAGATTCTCAAAAATGGGCTTCATTCCAATTGTCATTTTCGGGGCATCGACAACAATTCTGAAGGAAGCAATTTTGGTAGTTTGAATTGCCAAGGTAATGCAGCATCTTTACCAATGCCAATGTCAAACCTGGTTCCAAATCTAACGCAGATGCGAAACATGTTCCCAAAGCCAATACCAGTGTCGAATTTTTTTCCACAAAATAATGGAAATTCAAATCCATTCTTCTATAACAACATAGATGAGGCTTTTTGGAATGATTTCGGTCAGCATTAGTTGATTTTTTATTGAATTATCCTGATTTGGAGTCAATCACTTGGAATTCTGAGGAGTCAAAAATTGCTGAATCGATTCAAATATTCAAATTTTTATTGCAGTATCATACACTTGGTAAATTGTTTTTCTTTCCATAAATAGATAAGGTTTTAATGTTTCTTTTTATTGTATCTAAAATTTCGTCAAAATAAATGAATATTTGTTCAAAATATTAATCCACAATTCATGGTATCAAAAAATTATTTACTTCTATTTTCTTTTCCTCATAATGACCAGAAGGACGAATCCACATGGATACACAGTGAAAAATTTTGCGTTATTGCGCCGAAAAATTGTTGTGTTAAATATTTAACACTTTTTCGTGTTGATTAAACATAATAAATGTTAAATTTACACATAAAAGTGTTAAATATTTAACACAAAAATTTTTAACACTAAGTTTTTTTGACGCAATGACGCAAAATTTTTTACTGTGTAGAAATACGGTGTTAGTCTTTAATTAATATATTTAAAATCTCAAAATGTTGAGGAATAATTAATATAAGAAAATTTGGAACATGGTTGACCCTGCAGGCGATTATTGAAACTTTTCGCTATTTTTAAGCTTAAACATTCCAAATCTAATCAGATTTAAGTTTCAGTAAATTTTATCAAACAACGTTTCGCTAATCACTAAACGTGAAAATCTGCCGAAATCTCTATTCAATAATTAAAATACCGGGTTTTGAATTTTTGTTCGTTTAGACGCAATCATGCGACTAAACGAAAGTTATAAAAATAACTATTGTTACAATAAATTTAAAAAGTTAAATTATTGAAATAAGCTGTAATCTATTCATCAGCTCATCATTATACGAACTATTTTAATTAAATATCATTACAACACTTGTAACGACAAATATATTACAATAACTAAATATTTGATGCATATGTTACAGTTAATTCCGTTCTTTTACAGTCAACACTTGTGTGGATGATCATTGAGTATTATCTTTTTTCCATTATTATTATTCCTTTTTTTTTTTTAAATTATTGGCTCTTTATGATGGTCGTTAAGAAGTGGCTGACGTGTACGCGTTATTTTAGCTGAATACTACGGCGATAACTATATCATTCTCGTTTCGACCGTCTTCTTTAGAAAACGTACGTAATTTAAAAATGTTTAACTACAAGTTGATAACTTTAATGCTAGTAGCATTATACTGTGTTCTACAAGTATCCGAAGTTTTTGCCAGTGTTAATAGTGAGGAAGAATGGATTCCATTAAACAACAAATCTCCTGATGTTATAGCTGTAGCCAAAGATGGTATTCTGGAATACGAAATTTCAAACAATGTTACCCATAAATTTGTTATGTTGAACGTCATTACCTCTATGTACCATTGGGAAAGTTCGGCAGTCGAATTAATAATTATAGCGAAATTTAAAGAAACCAATTGTCCACGCGATTCAAATGTTGAAGCCAGCTCATGCCCTATTCTTGAAGACAAGGATTCAAAATTATGTTGGATTTACAAAATACAACCTTATCATGCTAGCGGTTATGTTAAAATTTTATGTTATTAATTTCATTTATTATTTATTATTATTTATTCATTGATATTTATTATTATTATATTGCTTTATTTTAACTCGCTTTTAATAACAAAGTCATTAGCAACTTTTATATTAAAAATATTTACATTAATTAAATTAAATTACAATAGATTCAATGATTAACTTTTAATTATATAACAATTCTTCATTTAAATTTTTTCAAATAATTTGATCAATTTGAGAAATGAAATTGCACGATGGCATTGATCTTGGTTGTTGAGTATTGTCTTCATGTCATTTGATATTCCTTCATTGGATCTTTCCTGGATTAGTCTTCTACAGTCATCGATATTTGTTACTAAATTGTTTGGTTATCCATACCTTCAATTTCTATAATTACTTTCTTTACTTATTCTCAAGTTTGAAATTCAATTTAAAAATTTTTAATCATTGTTAACCAAGAATGTATGTTGAAAATTTATAAAATAAAAATATGTTTTAATTTATATCATTTTATTATTCTTGTTTTATTTCGCAAGAATCCCAATAAAAATATTTTATATCACGAATAAATCTTATTGAAAAATAATTTAATGATACATAAAATATATATAGGAAGTATACTTTCAATAGTTAACTTTTGGCCAATGATCGTATATTTTAACTATAATTGAAATACATTAAAAATAATTACATGTATGAATAAATATATAAAATTATCTTAAACTATATAATATTTTTTATGTATTTCAATCATAATTAAAATATATATAAAATCAGCGTAAATTTATCTATTGCAAATTTATTTTTTATAGTTTTATCTATTATTTTTAATATATTTGTGATATTTGAATTTATATATTTGAAAATATCATCTGTGATTTGATTTATCTTATAATTAAGAATATTTCAAGTTTCGATTAGCAAAATTTATAGATAGATATATAAACAAATTTATTAGATCCTAGAGCCTTCCCCTATGAAAACAAAATATAAAAAAAATATATTCCGAAATATACAAAAAATATATTTTAAATATATTAAAAATCTATAAAAAATATATAAATATATAAAAAATATGTATAGTCAATATATTTTTAATAACTAACTTTTGGCCGATTTTCGTATATATTTTATATATTTTAAATATATAAAATATATATAAAAATTGGCCAAAAGTTAGTTATTAAAAATATATTTACTATACATAATTTATATATTTTTAATATATTTAAAATATATTTTTTATGTATTTCGACATATATTTTTTAAATATTTTTTTTTCATGGGGGTTAGTCCTCTCAGGATCATCAAGATACATATTTTTACAGTGTGATTTAATGTATAGTAAAAATAATAATTCAACTATATGATATACAGACGTATAGGTAATTTTAAATACTCCAAATAATTTTAACAATATTAATATTAATATCGATAACAATATTATCTTTTATATTAAAAAAAAAAAAGTAAATTTTTAAATTATATTAAATATAAAAATAACTTCTTTGTTCTACTCCAAATTACGTTATCTTTTAAATTAAGTTTTATTCCTCTTATTATTAGGAAATAAACCCAAAAATTTAATTGACTTGTTTTTTTCGTTTTTAATTACCGATCATTAAGAAATAGACGCGATGCCGAGGAATAATGACTTTTATCCAAAGATATGACAAATTCAATTAACAATTAAAAACTACAATTAATGTTAGATCGAAATACCTAAAATTTACTCATTTACAACAACTGAAAAATAGCAAAGACTTATCGTTAACACTTAATTATTATTCAATCTATTCGCCTTGGTAGTTTTTAGGGTCATGAAGTCAATACTCGTTTCATAATCGCAATAACATTTTTCGCTTTGTTGAGATTTTTTTCTAAAGATATTTTATTTATCATGAACTCTGCTCGTAATGAAAAATGAAAAATAAAAATTAACTTGTGACTTCTTTGAGAATCGAACCCTAGAACGCGTAATTAAATTGGTAAGTCTTGCGAAGTGTTGGATAATTTTAAAAATATCTTACTGTAAATTGTAAAAAGTTTGGAAAATCCAAAAGTGCACGACTCATAATGCTCATTTAATTATGCAATATTAATAAAATAAAGAATGTGATAAAAAAATATATAAAATATATAAATATATAAAATAGCACGATAATGCGTACGTGCCTCTAGTGGTATAAATGTACACAATATATATATATATATAGATATACAGTCTTCTGGTTTTTATTTTATTTCATTAATTGTACATAAACGACACTGAATTACCTAGCCATTCGTATTCGGTGACCTACAATTCTTTCAAAAAATTAAAAAAAAAAATTTAACTCAATTAATGCATTTTTTCGCAAGTTACAGTGTTTTCAGTTTCATGCATGACGGACAGGAAAATTTTTGACCTATTTTGATGTTTTTTACATTTCTATTGCACTAAATTAATTTTTGAAAAGTGTCAAATTAATCTTCATTAAATTATCTTGACAATAGTACACAAAATATCTTAATTTCGTGAACTAACAAGACTATAATAATAAAAATAGTTGCCGAAATGAGGCGAAAAAAATTTTCGCCTCATGAGTCGTGCAATAACAAGTTAATTTTTGATAATAAAGATAATAATTCTCGATAATTAATAAATTAATTTAATACAAGGAAATTAATATATGGATGAGAACAAGTTTTGCGATGACATTAATTTATATGCTCAATTAATTATGACAATTCTCCCTGGGGTGTTACTTAAAATGATATTTGTCTGCATTGAGAACATAGTTACATTATTTATGCGAAATAAATTATTTGCACAATTAAAATTAATTTCACCAATTAATAGTCTCATGTCTTGTGTTTTCTGTTTTCTGTATTATACATATGTAAAACGTGTGTAATGAATAATCAGAATTGAATTTCGAGTGATAAAATAAATTTATTTTATGTCGATTTTTGAGATAATTTAGCGTCAAATGCTTTTTTCCTGATATTTAATTTAAAAAATATAAAAATATTATAATTTATGTGAATATAATAGGTTTCATCATTGGTGTTCTCGGCAGATTTTGATGATAGCTATTTAAAAATAATACTATAAGTATAAATGAATAATTTCATTATAGCGAATGTTAGATGAAGAGAATATCAACAGGACAGGCTCCTGCTGACTTGAGGCTCGTGAAATCAATTATAAAAGGGTTCTTCACTAAAAGTTAGCCGCACTTGTCGCTTTTATTTATTTACTTTCTTTCTCCGAGGCATTTTTATTCTCAAGACAGGGCTCTATTATCTAAAAATTTATAATTAAGCCCAGATATTTGTTATATAGTGCTTTTTTATTGGTCATAATTTAATTTTTTATTTTAACTTGAATGTTTTTGTTTTTAATCATGATAGTTTTATTTATTTCATGTATAAATGGATATTAGCATGTTTTTTTCTTTATAATTAATATCTTGGTAATCATTGGAGCGAGAAAAAAAGTTGTAGCCAAAAGTTTCTTCTTTTAAAAAAAAAAATTGACCGGCTACTTGATTTTGATTATAAAAAAAATACACAGAAAAATAGGTTCACTTGAGCCAAAAAAATATTTTTCTGCCTAATTATTTTCTTGAGCGAAAAAAAAATTTTTTTTGACACAAGAAATTTCACTTATTCCAACAAAATTAATTCTCTTGCTTTAAGAAATACGTATCTTGATCCAAGAAAATTTATTTGTGTCAAGAAAATCGTTGTTTTGAGAAAATTCAGCCTCTTGCTCCAAAAAATTTAGTTCTTGATAGAAGTAAATTTTCTTGTCTTAAGAAAATTTCTCTCTTGTTCCAAAAAATTAAATATAAAGATAGAAGTAAATTTTCATTAATATTTTTATTGATTAACATGTCAAATGGGAAGATCAAATAATATTGAATCATTTTTTTTTCATTCAATATGTATAATTGCACGCTAAAATAATATAAAATGGGTATCAAATATTCAAGAGAAAAATTTTCTCAAGGTGAGAAAATTTTTTTCTCAGCTGAAGTAGGTGGCGCTGCTTCCCTAAAGTATCTGAAAATCTTGATCAAATATAAAAATTTATTGTATCAAGTATTTATGATAGTTTGAATAAAGAAAAAATTACTTCCACCAAGAATAGAATTTCAAGAAAAATTTTTACTTTGGCCAACACAACTTTGGTCTTTTTTCAGACACCTAAAAATTTTCTTGAGCCAGGAATTTTGTTCTCTAGGCAAAAAATTTCTCTTTCTGTGTGTGAGATTTTTAAGTAGGTTCAAAAATTTAAAACTGAACTTTAATGTTAATAATGATTTTATCATATTAAATTTTGACTAATTTTAATTTTCTCAGACTTTACTGAGACTAGAAAAAAAAAGTTTTATACAAAAATTGAAGCTAAAAGTCTGTTCTTTTGAAAAAAAATTGATCGCTTAATATCCTAAAAAAATTACAGTGATTTTATCCCAAAGTTGTTAATAAATCTAAAAAATGTCAATTATAAATCTTTAGGATATTTAAAATACATAAAATATATTGTTCTTGCCAGGACGTTGTAGTCTTTTAATTTTAATGTCTTATTTAGAAGCAATATTTTATGCTTTTACTACTTCTTATTTCTGGTAAAAAAAAATAATAATTTGGTATCCAACAGTAAATAATTTTGGTGGCTAAAATCGACAATAAAGAAGGTATTAATAAATAAAAACTGGATTATTTCCATGATATAGCAATAAATGTCAAAGGAGTAAATAAATCGAATTATTTAAAAATAGAAATAAACTGTTTAGTGTATTTCAGCCTTGATTTTGATTACCGAGTTATGGGCGAATGAAACAGTAATGCATTTAAGTGTAATAATAAAATTAGTTTGAACTAAATGCGTATCAAAAGTCATAATAATAATCTTCATGATCATCATCATTGCTGTTGATAGTAAACATATTGAGTACAAAATAGTTAATTTAAATAGTAGACAATTGTTTGGGTTACGCTAGTTTCAATGGTAAATAAATTATCAAGTTAATAGA